ATGGGGTCCTCATTTCTATCACTACATGGTATTAGCACCAGCATGGTCCTTTCTGTGTTGAGAACAGTTGGACCCATGGAATTTCTTTAGTGTGGGTGGGCAAGATTTTTGTTTCAGTGCAGTTTTGAGTAGAGGGTTTGCAGTTTTGTATTTGAGGTGGAAAGGAGGATCGAAGGCTTCAGAGCAACTGAATGCAGGTGACAGTATCCCTCTCTCTCACTCAGTCTCCAGTGGTGTTTGACTCCAGTTCCCAACAGTCCCAGCCTGGCTGGCCAGTGGTCAGTTACGCTGAGCAGGCTGGGTCTCTTGGTGCATTTTTATCTGGTTAGTTGCAATTGTAGCGATTGTGTGTGTGAGTGGGAACCTGTTGATGGGCAGCAATAAAAGCGAGCACACACATACACATGCATGCAAGTACACAGGCAAAGTTTCAGAGGAGGGCAACAAGGATAGGAAAGACCTCACCTGGAATCCTGTGTCCAGTTCTGGGCACCAAGATTGAAGAAAGATGCAGAAAAATTAGAAAGGGTTCAGAGGAGGGCAACAAAAATGATCCAGGGTTTGGAAACACATCCCTGTGAGGAGAGACAGCGAGAACTGGGCATGTTCAGCCTTGACTGGGTGGAGGGGGGGAACATGATAGCTCTCTATAAGTAACTTAAAGGCTGTCAGAAAGAGGAAGGTTAAGATCTCTTCTCGCTGATAGAATGTAAAAAGGTAAAGGTAAAGGTTTCCCCTTGATGTTAAGTCCAGTCATGCCTGACTCTCGGGGGCGGTGCTAACCTCCGTTTCCTGGCCGAGGGAGCCAGCGCTTGTCCGCAGGCGGTCTCCGTGGTTGTGTGGCCGGCACGACATAACACCGAAGTGCACGGAACGCTGTGACCTGCCCACCAAAGTGGCACCTTTTCATCTACCTGCATTTGCGTGCTTTCGAACTGCAAGGTTGGCAGGAGCTGGGACAGAGCAACGGGAGCTCACCCCGTCGTGCAGATTCGAACCGGCGACCTTTCGATCTACCAACCCAGCAGCACAGCGGTTTAAACCCCTGTGCCACCTGCAGTCCCTGATAGAGCGTTGGACATGGAATAATCACTTCAAGCTGTGGCAACTCAGATTCAGGCTAGATAACAGGAAACAGCTTCTTCACTGTCAGAGCAGTACAGCAGTGGGACCAGCTGCCCGGAGAGGTGGGGGGCTCTCCCACACTGGAGACATTCAACAAGACACTGGGCAGCCACCTGAGTGGGAGGGTGTGACTTGGTGTCCTGCAACAGCAGGGGGTGGACTTGATGGCCTTCATGGCCCCTCCCAACTCTACTGTTCTATGATTCTAAGAAAGCCCTGTGGGGAGAGGTTGAGAGAACTGGGCATGTTCAGCCTTGAGAAGGGAAGATGGAGGGGAGGTGTGATAGCACTTCTCAAGTACTTGAAGGATCATCACAAAGAGGAAGAGTGGGATCTCTTCTTGCTCATCCCAAAGTGTAGGACATAGAATAACAGGCTCAAGTTCCAGGAAGCCCAGTTCCAGCTGGACATCAGGAAGAACCCCCTGACTGTTTGGCAATGGAAGCAATTTGGACTCAATGGCTCTATGGGCCCCTTTCAACCCTACTATGTCTGATTCTATGAAATCCCTGCTTTTACCAGGTGGAGTTCTAGAGGTAGGAATGAAACTGACTTGGCATGGGGCTGCAAGTGTCAGACGGGGTCCCACAAACTCTAGACAGAGAAGATTTATTGCAGTGGGCATCAGCTCAGACTGAGGGAGCTTCAGATTCAGTCCAGGACCTTGCACTATCCCCTGAAAATAAAATAAGCATCCAGTCCTCATGGTTCTGAGTAGGAAGCTGCCTTCTGCCAGGTCAAATATTTGATCTATTTCCCTCCATGGTAGGGACGGCCAACTTATCCAGGCATTGTGGTCTACATCTCCCATCAGCAACCACTGTTGGGTGCATTGCTAAGGCTGATGGGAGTTGTAGGCCAACCCATCTAGAGAGCCACAAGTCACCCAGCTCTGGGCTGAGTGGTGGCCATTTCCAGGGCCTGTTGGGCATACGGAGCACAGGGCCCGCTCACGGTCACGGTTTCACGTTCCTGGTTTGGTGCAAACTGCCCTCTGCGTTGTGGAGACTTGCTGCCCACATGGCTTCTTTTGGGGGAAACAATTCTCTGCCCTGCCAGGAAGGCCAAAACTTGAAGGCAGGCGTGAAAATGGAGCTGCGTAGTCTGGTGCATCAGCAGGCCAATTTGGAGAGGAGGTGCGTGATGGCCAGGCAGGGGGGCAGTGCGGGGGAGCAGTGACCTAACCCTGGGCACACAGTCAGAAGTGTGGGGAAGGGCGCTCTGCATTTACCCGGACACAAAGTCAGCTTGTCTTTTAAGCCAGGACCTCTCCCCTCACCCCATCCTGCGAGATGATAATGAAGCTGGCACTCTGTGGAATCCTCCATCCCGCCTTGTCCTGAGGGCCTGTTTGAATCACTGGATAATTGCTGTTTATCTCCCTCCTTGCTGATGGGAGAGCTCACCATGCTCCGGGCAAAGGTGGTGGCGGATCCCATCCCGGATGAGTCACCTTCATTAGGGACACAGTGCATTTTCCTGGCAGCCATCCAGCGCAAGAGCCGGCTGATTCCTCACCCGTGCCACTCTGTCGCCGCAGAAGTCTCCTGGTGGAATCCGTCAGACCAGGGTGTGCAACCTCATCTGGCCAAAGGCCAGATCCTGCTTCAGAGATGCTCTCATCCGCTGCCTCCCAGGGTGCATGGGCCAAAGGCCAGTGGGCTTGACCAAAGTCCCCCACGTACAGAACTGGAAGCACAGGAAGTCTGGCCTCTCCAAATGGGGGGAAACTGGTCAGAAGCCACGAAAGCACCAAAGGATTGTTGGGTGGGGAAAGGAGATGGGGAGTGGGGAGGAGTGGCCATATGCCCTCCAATTTGCACCCCTGTGTAGAAATTCCTACACCCCCAACATAGAGGGACACAGCAAGTCTGAAAGGAGCTCTCAGGGCCACCTCTTCTCCCTGCTGGGTAGCCAAGCGGTCCCCCAGGGCTGCTGTCTGAGCTGGTTCATGGGCTGGGAAAGCGAGGAGTCTCTTGACCATGTGCTGATGTTCCCGTGGCCGAGTTGTCAGCCATTCGGATGAGCCTGGCACAAGCCGAGGTGCCTGATGAGGAGCCAGCGTCCTTGCAAGACCTAATCTCTCACGCCAGCGCCACAGGAGTCGGCCAGTGGGGAGAGGCCTTGGGAATCCATCACTGGCATGTGCGTGGCCCCTGAACCGAAGGGTGCCATTTTGTGGTTCAGAAATCACTCTCCGAGGGAGCCCGTGTTTCCCCCACTGTAGATGAAGTGCCACATTCAGGGGCCACGTGCATTCGGTGGCTGGAGCACAGCATGGCATGGAGGCGGCATTTCCAGCCACCCAGAGGATGTGTGAGGGTGGGGGAGGGAAAGAAGGTGGTGTCCCAGTAGGAATCAGCACGGCTGGATGGCTCCGGCTCCACTTCCCCACAACGAGCCCCCTTCCTGAGGCAGCTGGTGTGGCTCGTGAGCACCGTGCGCATCGTGAGGCAGCCAGGCAAGGTGCGAGGAATGTCCCCAGAGATGGCCTTTTCAGCAGTGCATCTTCATCTATTAGCAGAAGGCTGACAGGGAGTTGCTGGTTGCAAGGACTTTTGGGTCACCTGTGCCACAGGCATCGGTGTGTCTGTCTTCCTTCTGACTTACAGATTCCCTTTCACAGCACAATCTCTTCCCATGGCATTGCCCAAAATTCATGGAAGCATCACAATAAATGAGACAGATCAAAGCTGCTTCTAATCCTCCCCCGTTTTATTAAATCTGAGCATAATAATTACTTGATTGCGGTGCTTAAGTAGCATTTGTATAGAAGGAAGCACGTTTCAAAACTTTCTCTTTAAAGCTGATTGAGTGGTGTTGGTGTTGGGAGTGTGGCGTCATGGATATTTCTTGGGGAAGAAAGGCTGAAAATGTGGGGGCACCACTAAAAAGGCCTTGGTCAATGTCAGTTGAGTATCTCGCACTGACAAGCTGGAGAGCAGGGCCTTTGCAGCTGTTCATGCTTGAGACAAAGGGGGATTCTCTGGCGCAGCAGTGGGGTCTGCCGGATAGCCTAGCCCCAAACTGTGTAGGGCTTTAAGGGCCTGGAAAACTATGGGACTGGTGATGTAAGTGGGGCAGAATTGGTGAACTGGGGGTGCTCCAGCTCCCATCAATCCCAGACAGTGTGTGGGTGCCCTGCATCTCTTGAATGCTGGTTGTGCAGAGCTATGGTGTTTGTTGTGCGCTTGGGTGGGGATGGCTCCTCCCTGCGTGACCACAGAAAAGTGTTCACCGGGTACCACAAAAGGATATGGGGCAGGTGTGACAAGATGGCTCCTGGTGCTGCATCACCACTGTCTCTGGGTCTCCTCTCCTGGCATGCCAACTTGTGGCGGATAGGTGACTTTTACCTTGGGAGAGAGTTCTTAGTCTTGTAGTTTTGCAGTGGGTTTTCTGCTTCTTGTCCCCAAATCTTCACAGCATCCCTGTGAGGCAAGCCATCTGTGAGTCCATTACTCAGATGAGGGAGACTGAGGCTAAGAGACCCCATGAGGGCCCTGAGGGAGTTTATGCCAGAGCTGGGATTGGAACTCATATCTTGGTCTGAGAGGAATTTAATCTGATCTCACTTTCTGTGACACAAATAGGTTTGGCTTTTAAGGTACGGCAAAACCTCAAACCTTTTAAGATTATAGTTTTACTGCAATGGACTGAGACAAACACTGCTCTGGAGGAAAAGATGCTTCCTACAAATTCTGCAGGGGCTGCTTGGTAGTTGGTGCATGGAGATTCGGCTCTGGATGAATACAGATTTCCTCTGCAAGCAGAATGAGGGGGCTCCGAGTCTCCGTCTCCGAGTCCGGGCCTGAAACTCAAGCCGGACGCCTGTCTTTGTTTTGCAGAGCTTCAATGCCCTGATTTGGCCTAAGATGAAGGTATGGAAGTTTGCAGCCATCGCCTCCATGGTTTTCAGTTCCATGCTGTCCATGTTGGTTTGCAGAGACCTGTTTGGAGGGAGCCCTGCATCTACCTTCTTCCCCTCAGCACTGTTCCCGAGAGCATCCTCACCGCCCCCTTGGCTCGCCGATGGTCAGAAGAGGCACCCGCGGGATCTGGAGCGCCGCAGCTCCCTGATCACCCAGTGTAAGTTGCGGAGTGGTCCCCAGATTATCCCTTGGATGCCAAAGGAGCACACTTACAGAGCGACACAGGCAGGACCGGATTGGGGAAAACTGGTGTGGCCCTCGTTTCTTTTACTCAGCAATGATCCGGCCTTCTTTGCTGGCTCTAATGCAGCATTCCTCACCCTGATGGTTTGATCACAACTCCTGTCACTTAGGAATGATGGAAATTGTGGCCCGGGACTGCTGCAGGTTGGGGGAATGCTGATCTAAGAGATCAGTGGGTTGTTGCCAGCCCACTTGTGATGCCAAATTTGGTCCAGAGCATCACTCACTGGCTCTTCCTTGGCCTGGTTCTTCCTGCAACTCACAGGATCATAGAGGGATCTTGAAGGTCATCTAGTCCAGCCCCAGATCAAGCCGCCTCCGCTGATCAGTCTGTGAGAGGCAGCCATGCCAGCTGCTGCATTAAACCTCCCATGGAGACCTAACCACCACTGGAGGCCCCTTCTCACTCACTCTGTTTCTATGTTTCCTTCCAGAGGTTTGCTTCTTCCGTGGACAATCAGCTCCGCCAGTTAGGAAGTCTCTGCATTGGCTTACCTTTCCTTTAAAAGACTTCAGCTCAGCCTTTCCTCATCGTTGCAGACACTCTTCTGTCCTGCATTCTTTGCTCTCTTGTGGAGCCGAGGCCACTTGCCTGGTCTTCCTCTTGCCAGTTTTACTGGTAAAGTAATCCTGTGAGGTAGGACAGGCCAAGAGTCAATGACTGGCCCAAAATCATGAGCGCCGACATGGCAAAGTGGCCAGAGTTCCAGAGGGGGACTCGGAAACCCAGGTTGCCTGCACTGGGCCATGAAGCCATCTGTGTGTCTTTTGACAAAATGCCGACTCCCAACCAAGCCAACCTTACAGGGTTGTTGAGAAGAAACAATGGAGAGGTGGAGGGTCCATATCTGCTGTTTTGAGCACCTTGGAGAGGAAAAAAGGAGCAGTTTAAACATAATACAGACATATAATGAAGAGAGGCTACCCCTTGAGCAGTATCCGCAAACTAAAGAGCAAACCCTAACAACAAAACAAGTCAGAGATCAAGGGATCTGAACGCAGTCGTGGCAAAGCAGAATCAGATTCCCAAGGGGCAGCGCATAGTCATGGACTGCTTCAGAGGCCAGCCCAAGAGGTGTTGCGCTACCACAAAAGGCCGGCAAGAGAAACCTCCCAAGGGACACGGTGCGGAACCCCTTGCCACAAGATGTGCTGTGCTCATCCCAGCAGCTGCTAAAAGAAGCATTTCCTCAGCATCCCAGAAAACTGCCCCTTTCACCCCAAGGTAGAGACCCAAGCGTAATAGAATAGCCAGAAAAATGTGGATGCAATTATATGCACAAATCCTGTCCAATCGACTGTATTTAGCAGAATGATAATCCCTATGACAACATACAATGAAATCCAGATCCAATCTACCCAGTCAGTGGAAAATTAAAACAAAAACGGGGACCAAATGGGGCCAGTTTCCTCGGAAAAAACAGCGACTGCTTTGAGTTGGGTTACATTTGGGAATATTTTTTCCACTGACCTGGTAGATTGTATCTGGATCTAATGGTGTGTTTGTCTATGGATTAGAGAGATATTAAAGGCACTTGAAGATGCTGGATTTTATGTATGTAATTACAGCAGCCTTCTTTGTGGGGCTTCTGGAATACCAGGGGGTCACAGGAACAATTGAGGGCTTCCTGGTGGGGGCTGGAAAGAGGGTGTGGGAAGATGGGCCCTCCACAGGGCACACAGTTGGACCTTGGGGCACACGCCAGGGCTCCCCCGCCCACCATGCATAGAAGCCAGTGAAGGGCAGTCTGGCCGCGGCTTTGGGTTTTTCTTCCGCACCCCTGGAGCTCAGAAAATGCACACGCTTGAGAGTCCTTGGTCATCCCGATGGAGTCATGTCGGCCACGGGAATGGAAGGTGGGAATCCGCCCTGGCTGGGTGGGGCAGCTCCCGCTTGCTGTGCAGGAGGCCCTGGATTCTTTCCAGAATGTAGGGAATGGGAACTGTCTCCCAGCCCACAACTCCCAAGGGCCACTGATGCCTCCTCAAGGCAGAGAGCCCCGAGGTAAAAGGATAACGGTCTGGTTCAGGCAGCTTTTAAACGTCCCTTCATTCAGAACCCATGAGGACCAGAATCTTGCTTCATTTTTAAAGGAGTGGCCATAGTATTCTGACAGAGAACTCCTTGCCATGCTAGGTGCCAAGTCTGAGCCCAGGCCAAGTTTGTGCCAACTCGAGGTAAGGCTGGGAGGATCCTTGAATGGAAGCCTGGAGGACGGCTACCAGTCTGTGCCAACAGGACAGAACCAGATGGACCGAGCCTCTGAGTCATGTGACTTTTCTTCTCCTGTGGCCTCCTGAACTTTAAGGGTTTCACTTAAATGGGTGTCCACACATAAGGATCCTCAGGTTTTTTTTTTTGTGTGTGTGACGGACACTGTGTGTGTTTTGTACAGAAGTCTCTTATGGGCATGGAGTGTGGGGATCATCCTGGCAAATTCAAGTGCTTCACCCCAGAAAGTCTAATGGAGTGGCTTGCAAGCAGCCTGTGAAAGGCAGTCCCTGCTAATGGAAACAGACACAGCACGCAAGGCATAGGGGATGAGGGAAAAAGAGAAAATAATCAGCCACAATGGCTGAATGGCCCTGCTTCGCCCCTCCTCTCTTGGTGGGGGCAATCCCAGTAAAGAAAGCCTGTTTTTCTCCGGTCTTCTGCACTCCTCCTTCAAATCTGAGCTAATTTTTCCCCATTTTACTACAGTCTTCATTCTCCCACAGCATGGATTTAAGCAGGAATTTGCAAGGAATTCATTAGGGAATAGGAAACGATCGTATTCCCTGGGCTTGGTCTGCTGTGCAGTGACCCTGTGTCAGTTCCTGGGGAGTGCGCCTCGTGTTTGCCGGATGCTGGCCAGGAATCGAGTCCCTCAGGCTGTGCAAACAGCACCCTCTCCGGCATGTGGCAGACCCCAGTGGCTGCACCTGACGGGGAAGGCTGCTGGTCATGCAGCTAGAAACCTGCGAGCACTTGCAGACTTCCTTCTGGTTTGGCTGACTTTGCAGGACCAGGCCAAGCACGAGAGGAAGTCCACGGATTCTGGAGGGATGGATTTCGATAGGCTGCATCCCAATCCTAGACAGGCATTTATAGGACTTAAACTGCCTCATACCTGAATGAAATTGAGATTCTTTTTTCCTGGAGCGGTAAACCAGGAGCTCTATGTTTTCATTCTGCAGAAAAGGAAAACAAAGCTTTAAATAAATAAGCCCCAAAGCAACAGGAAAGCCAAAAAAGCCAATGCAGCACCTAATACTCAGTGCCAGGATGTCAGAGAAATCCCTGGCAGATCGAACTGAGTTTTGCATTTCTGTGACTCCATACTAACAATTCTGCAGCAGATCATCTTTTTCTGAGTTGCAGATTTCATCAGTCTGTGGGCAATTTTTTAACATTAGTGAGGGATTGATCCTAATACACACTTGCACTAATGCACTCTTGTGCAAATGCATGATGCACACATGTGCAAGCCAGATTGCTGTGCAGATATTCCGTCGGTGAGCAAATGATGGAACGCAGGACACCCGGCCATTTGCAAAACGGGCAGAATGGATTGCACAAAGAACTGTGTCTCTGACTTAACTTACCCTCCGCTCAGAGCTGCCAGGGTGGTTGGCTTGCGCTGATTTTGGAGAAGAGGGTGTATTCTGCCCCGCCTTGCTCTTAGTTCTGCTTTGGCACAGGTGCAACGGATGGAAGTCCCCGAGTGACGGCAAAATCTTGCACTGGCCTTGCCCGCCCTTCCCAGCTTTGGCTCCCCACCTTGGCTGGACTCACCCCAAAGAACGAATGGGATGGTGTAGCCAGTGGCAACATGGGTGAGAAGGATTAACGCGGCATCCTGGGCCCCTTCCCAGGCCATCCACAGCGAAGGGCTGGCACAGAACAGTCATTAGAATCAGATGCGCAGGCCTCGCTCTTGCTCTCTGGGCTGGGAGTGGAAGAAATGCTTCCGGCCCTCCGCTTCTTTAGAGGCCCACGGAGACCTCCCTGCACATTGTTAAATCCAGGCTGCAGGCGGAGGCCCGCCTTCTCTGTAAGATGCACCTCTGAGTGTGTGTGACGGAGCGCTGGCCTGGTGCTGGTTCAGGATCCCACACCCAGCCCTGCTCCTAGTGAGTGCTTTGTGCTTGTCATGGTTAAATGCACAGCAGTATGGCCACAAACCCCTTCCCCTGATCACACTCCTTCCCCAACGGCCGATCACTTTCCCCAGCTTTTGTGTAGCGCTCCCCCTCTCCAGCAATGGTGGGAACACCTCTCCAAAGCCTTTGTCCTGGCCATACAAGGGCAGAACTACAAAACACAGGGATCTACTATTATGCATACTTGGCTCCACCCCTTTACCTTTGCTCCTCCCACGGCTGGGGTGCAGCACCCAGGAGTGTCCTTGGAACTGAATTTGAATTTGGCTCATCGGCTGAAAGGCCCAAAGCCCTAAAATCATATATCTGATTACCTGGGAGTAAAAAACCAAGTTAAAAGAAATCCCAAGTGGGGATGCTCCTGAAGGTCATATAGTCTGACTGCTTGCTCAACAAAGACTCTGCAATGTAGGGTTTAACTACAGCAGGGGCTAATTCAGGTTCCTAGTCCTCAGTATGACCCTTGCCCCTTACTAGAAGTCCATTATGGATAACCCTTGCTTCTTTTCATTCCTTTTTAAAAAAATTCAGACAGCACGTTGTTCGAGAGCTACACTGAGGGAGAGATCCGGCAGCTCATCTCCACACTGATTGAGAGGTACAGCCAGTCCATGAACTCCGGGGGCCACGAACTGCCGCTCTTGGAGCGCGTGGGCACCCGGATGAAGCGTGCCAAGGCCCGGCACAAGCCCTGCTCCCTCAAGGAGCTGGAGGTGACGGTCAGCGAGCTGGGCCTGGGCTACAAGTCCGACGAGACTGTCTTGTTCCGCTACTGCAGCGGCACCTGTGACTCGGCTGTGCGGAACTACGACCTCTCCTTGAAGAATGTCCGGAGCATGCGGAAGATCAAGAAGGAGAAGGTGCGAGCCCGTCCGTGCTGCCGGCCGCTCTCGTACGACGACGACGTTTCCTTCCTGGACACGGGAAACCGGTACTACACCGTGAACGAGGTGTCGGCAAAGGAGTGTGGCTGCGTGTGATGGTGTGGAGGAAAGCGAAAGGAAGAGTGCGAAGTCCGGCCCTCCACCAGGCAGCGCTTGGAGGCCGCTGAGCGAGGGTGGTTCCCCAGGGGCGAACGGGGAAGGAGAGGAAGGCCAAGGAGGCCACCCCTGCCTGGAATGGCCCAGCCGGCCAAAGGACTGACACCTGCCCCAGGGCTGCCTGGAGGCACCTTGCCAAGGAACCTCTGGGCCATCGACGGCGCCTTGGGCCACTCCCCGGGCAGCGCAGGCCACAGGGGCTCTTCCCACCTCGCATGGAAGAGGTGCGGGGAACTGATGCGGGGTGCCATGGCAGAAGGAAGGCCGCAGTTCCTGGGGGAGGCTGGGCTCAGTAGAAAAAACTGTGCCAGCCTGCTCAGGGCGAGCTTGGAATCAGAGCTTCCCAGAGGCACAGAGTCCTCTGCAGTCTTTGGAAGATCTCGCCCAGTCGCACCCACAGCGACCGCCTTGGCGAAGCCCGGAGTCTTTACCGGAACAATTTCTTGTAGGAACTCGAAGTGGGGCTCTTTTCCTGCGTGCACATTGGGCCTTTGGGAATGTGCAGAGGAAAGGGCTGATGGAGCAAGGAGCTGGGACACAACGACCGTTATTTTCCCATTATCTCAGTAGGCAAGCACAGTTGTACCAGTGCTTTGTAAATGTATGCGTGTGTGTATATAATATTATACATAAGAAGCGTACGCATAGGCTTAAAGTACTGACAAACACGTACAAAACACTGCTATGCTTATCAGGCATTGCATCAACTTCTTGAAGGAAACATTTTAAAGAGGTGTCAGCAGCACCGAGTTTGAATTTAAGGCTGGGGAATATCAGCTCAATAGCAGAGCTGTGTGCTTTGCATACAGAGGGCCTCATTCTCCATTCTTGTCATTTCCAGGCAGGGCTGACAAGCCAGTGCCAGAGAATCCAGCTTCCTGTGTTCTTGCTTGAATCCCTACTTTATTAAGAACCATGAGGACTGGGATCTTTATCTGTTTTTAGGGGCATAGCTGGAACCCTGCCAGGGCAGTGCATGGATTCATGTCCCTCTTCCCCTCCCATGTTGACATAGAGAGCCCTCCATAGTGGGTCCTTCTAGTATTCACAGCTTTCCTCTTGGTCTTGCAAAGTGAACTGAGCAGAGAGGGAGTCTGCGAAGGCTCCGGAAGGACAGTTCTGCAACTGGCTGCTAGCATGGCTTGCGCTGAGCGAGGGGCTCCTTTCCCGCAGAGTCGGGGGAACCAAGCCCAGGGAACCACTGGATTTGTCCCACTTCCCTGGCATGGAGCAGCTTGCATGTTCTTTCTGAATGTTGGGAAGATGTGTGGCATTGAACCCACCACTTTAATTTTAGTGTACCCCTGAAAGAAGTACCCTGCATCAGGGCTGGGGAAATTTCTTTTACTCACACCTCCAAGTTCACTTGAAGGTACTCCGTCGGGGGGGGGGGGGCACTTGGTGTGCCCAAAGCCTTTTCCTTCTCTCTCATGCACACACGCACCTCTTGCCAGCTCTCTCATGGCTATATTCCCTGCTTCCCTCCGGTCTGGCCGAGAGGACGGATTCTCAGGCCCTTGGGGGCAAATGGTGGAAAGAGTTTGGGGGCTGGGAAGCGGGCAAAGCCAGGCGTCCCTTTCCCCACTCGGCCCCTTTCTCCGGCCCCAGCAGCCGAAGCAGGACTTAGAAGCTGCTCGTGTCCTTTCAGCCCCTGAGGCTCTGGGCAGCTGTGCCTGCGTATCCATGAGAGCTAGTTGCTTGAAGGGCGGGGTAAAGTGCCCTGCTGGAGCCAGACAAGGGTCCCTTGTTCGCTGTTCCGAGACAAGCTTTGCCCTGGGGCTCTGCACTTTGCCTGGACTGTGGCCACCGGAGCTGATCCCGGCGATGCCTGCGACTTTCCCTGTCATGCTCTCCCCACTTGCGCCTGCAGCACGCGGAGGGCAGAACGTTAGGGTTTGTCCTTCTGGGTAGCATTTTCTCAGCCTGGGCAGGCAGCCAAGAAAGAGAGCAGGAGCAAAACGGGGGAGAGGGAAAGTGAAGCCTCTCGCGGGAGACCAATGGGCTGGCTGGGTGGAGGTAGGAGCCCGAGGCTCGTTTGCTTCCTTGCGGAGTGAACATGGGCGGCGTTGCTCTGCGGGTGTGCCTCTCGCTGACTCCAGACCGAGGGCTGCCAGGGGCGACCTTGTGGCTGGCTGGGAACAGGGAGCCCTGGAGCCGTGGAGGGACGAAGCGCTCTGAGACACCCCTTCCTAGGGGGGCATTTCTCTCACTGTAGCCGTGCGAGAGCCTTTCCAGAGGCCACCAGAGAAGGGGAAGGGCTTGAATGCTGCCTATGAATGGACCCCCCTCAGATGATGCTCACAACAACCCTGTGAAGTAGGCTGGCCCGAGAGAACGAGAAATAGACCAGCCCAGTGAGTAGGAACTACAATGCAGAGCCCTCCCTCAGGGAAAGCCCGGTTCTCGAAGTGCTGATTCTGCCTCTTGATCTTGCCAGTGTGCATGGTCTGAAGGGTGCAAGAGCAGGAGCTGCCTTGGACTCGCCCAACTGTTGGTAACACATGCTGCATACCACATGCTTAGGCTGCCTGGAGATTCTAGTCCTCATGTTTCTGAATAAAGGGCCAAGTCAAATAAGAAGTTGCCATAGACCAGTTCCGACAGTTGATCAACCTATCCTAACCTCCAGTGGTCTGACTAAAACCCCATCGGCCCCAAACTGCATTGTCACTATTCACAGAGAATGTAGCCCAAAATATTTGGCGGGCACCAGGTTGGGTCTGGCTGGTGGAGGCAAAGCTAAACTAGAGAGACCCACTCAGTACAAAGCAGCTTCCCTTTCAAATTATCCCTTTATTTAGAACCATGAGGACTAGCATCTGCAGGGGAAGGACTCTAGGTCAGAGGAAGAGCACGTGTGATTGGGTGCAGGATGGTTTACATTGAGAGGCAGAAGCTTTCCAGATTTTTTTCCCAGTAAAATTGTGCACTGGGTCACCAAGCTATGGACCATCTCTTAAAAAAACAGACGGTAGTTTAAGTCCTCATGGTACTAAATAAAGGCACTGCCACTGTGCTATGGCCCTTCCTGGGACTGCTTTGCTTTTCAGGCCCTCCCTCTCTCCAGCCAACATCTATTCCTCCTCTGCCTCATTTTCGCCTGTGGGTCGCCCCTCCAGCACCTAAACTTTGTTCAGTCTGCCAGAACTTTCCTCAGTCAATGACTGCCAGTTTCAAAGCTGCTCTTTTGTGGCAAAGTTTTCCAGCAGTGCTCTACTCACCCCCTTCATGGCATCCGTTCGCCATGCGTGTCCTGCTCTTATTTTAAACTGACATTTTCATTTGTGATACACAAACAAGGGGGAAGACAGAGAATGAGAGAGAGAATTCTTAGGCCTTGCTGCTTTTTCCCACAAGGGCTTTTCCAAGATGGAAAGCTTTTGTGGCCCACAGAAAGATCCTCAGCTATTTCTGAGACGGTGACTGTGATGCGGAGGGGCCTTTCCCAGATCTGCTCTCTTCTTTGGCCCAGACTGCCCAAGCCTGTCCGGGAGACCTCAGCCCCCAGTGCGCCACCGTTGCCAGACGAATCCGCCCCGTCTGGCACAGTGGTCCCCAAGCCAGACACGGTCTTGCAAGCATGCCCTTCCCTTCTCCCACCCGCGATCTCCTCATAAGCCCTCATCCCACCTGAACATGGAGAGGGTCCCGTGGCCAGCAACTCCCCACTTCAGGAGCCGCCGGCTTTTACCAGATGGAAAACCTTTTCTCTTTCCAACTTCTCCTCCCTCTTGCTCTCCGCCGAATAAAATAACCCTGTGGATGCAGTACCTTTTGTGAGGCAGAAAAAGGTTGGACGACCCCAGCATGACGCTAGCGCATAGCATTCGCCCCACTGCAGCACCTGGAGTCTTTGTACCATGAAGAAAGGCGATTATGGCCTTGATCTATCACTCCCCCTTTCTGTATTTTCCCCACAACAACTCTGTGAAGTAGGTTAGGCTGAGAAGCAGTGACGGGCCCCAGCCCAAAGCCACCCAGTGCGCTTCATGGCTGAGCAGGGCTGGAACCTGCATCTCCCCAGTCCCAGTCCAACATTCCAACCACTAGGCCATATTGGCTCTCAGCACAACTAAGTCTGGCAGATCTACTTGCCCACCTATCCATTTGTCTATCTGTATGAAATCCAGATTTAACTTTCCTCATAACAGATCCCTGAAATCAAAGGAATTTGAATCAATAATGCTGAATTCCCGCCTTGATGATTTCAGTGGGGACATTCCGAGTATAGTTTGGATCCAACCCAAAGGGACAGATTTCTGTCCCTCTTTCCCCGTGTTTTGCTGGGATCCCTTCTTTTAAAGGACTTGGGCGGCCCTGCACTCGGCACTGGTAAGGAGTTGATGCAATCCCTCTGAATATAATACTAGACGAACCCTATTTATTCAAAGTAACTTATAGTATTTATTTAGGTACCATCAAGTGCCTTTTGATGAACACGTCAAGGACTCTTCTCTGCTTTTTGTTGCATTTAGTTTTCACCCTTCATAATTTATTGCACAAAAATGGTGCCAACAACTGCTTGACTTCTGGCTTTTATTATTATTATTATTTCTTTTGGTCTTTGTTCAGCATGGATTTCCAAACAAAAAGCAGTGCAAGTTAAATTTAAGATCAGAATGGGAAAAGGGAATGCCTGAAAAACACCCGCACACCCAAATGATTGGGTGGGTGGATGGCAGTTGATTGAAAAAGAACAACAGATCAGAATCCAAGTGGAGCTGTGTGTAGATTCCACTGGGATCCCTTCTGATCACTGCTATTCCTTAAGGAATCGCAAGTCACAGAATCACAAATTACCAGGGCACCATGTGGGTTATCCATTCCAATGCTGGATCAGTGTAGGACATCCAAAGTTACAGCATGGGAACACTGGAAGAGCTGGGCCAGACCAGCCCTGGATCAGGGCAGCATTCTGTCTGCACAAAGGCCAAGCAGCT